AAAAAAAAAAAAAACAGCGAGCGAGCCGGGGTGGTGGGTGAAGGCGCACGTGTGTTTCTCCATGTGCGGGATGAGTGTAGAGTAGGGGTTGGTTGTTGTGGTTGTTGTTGTTTCTTTTTGGGATGGAGGGGGAAAGGTGTATTCTTGTTTTCTTCTTGTTCTTCTTTTCTTGTTTGTTCTTCTTGTTACCATCACGTTGTGGGGAGCTTCTACGCATCTATCTCAATTTATGTGTGCGCTGTCTGGCACGTGAAGGGGGGCGCGCGGGCGGCGGGCCTGCACGCAACGGCCCAACCGCGCGTGCGAGAGCAACGAGTGTGGCGACTGGGCCGCAGCACAGAGGCTTCGCAGCACTTCGCATTCACACCTCTCCTCCCCCCTTCACAATGTGTATGCTCGTGAGTATATATATATACTCATCCTTTTTCGCTGATGCCAGAGTCATGCAAAATCCGCAGTGGATTCCCCTGTGCGCGACGGCAGGAATGGCTCGGCATTGCTGTTGAGTATCGTTGCGCACGTCTTCGCCATCTCTGGTGGCGTTGTGGTCGCCGTTGCGGGGTGGGTAAGTGACGCGAGGTCGCACGTGGCCGGGGAGCACGGCAGTCGGCTCTCCTGCAGCAGCTGCTTTTTCTGCGTCGTCGGCTGCTGTGGTGTGAACGCAGTGATGGAAGAGAAGCGTGTGTATTGCTCCGCCGAGTCACTGCAGTCGTAATTCCACCTACACGGCGTCGTCGTCGTCATAGTCCTCGCGGTCGTAGTGTCGGCCACCCTTCGCTCGCCGCGGTCATTTTCAGCCGCCCAGGACCAGAGGGTGTCCTCTGCGGTTCTTTCTCCACGGATCACCGAGAAGAGTTGCGACAGTCGTGCTGACGGAGGCACGGCGCTGCTTTCATCCAACCACTGCATTTGTTGCTGCGGCTGCTGCTGTTGTTGTTGTGCAGCAGCCGTGGTCGCTACAGAAGCATCGCGCATGCCGCATCCGTCCAGTGTCATCCCTGCATCGTCCTCCAAAAAGGCGGTTCGGTAAGAAAAGAGCGTACGGTTGGTTGTGAACCTGCTGTCGTCCTCCTGCAGCTGTTCTTGTTCTTTCTGCTGCTGCTGCTGCATTGCAGCGTAGGATCCGCAGAACTCCTCGTCCTCGGCAAAGGTGCACATAAGACTCTTCGGTGGTGTGGCGCCGGGAGACTTCCACTCCGGCGACCCTGTCAGCCGCATCCGCGCGAGGAAGGCCTGCTGGATGGAGCGCAGCGTCTCACGCTCCGCCTGCGTGATCGTCACACATGGTGCGGGAGATGAGGGCAACAAGCATGCACCATCTTGGGCAATATCACTGTAGTCGCCGCCACCACCGCCACCTACAGCTCCTGCAGCCACAGTCGAGGCGCTGGCGCAGCGCAGCTGCCGCGGTGACGATGCTTTTTGCAGAGCTTCTCGAATGCCCTGCAGCATTTCAGTGACCTCCGCATCTTCGTCGTCGTCACGGGTGTATACGGCAGCATCCCTTTCCCCCGGCACCGCCTCAGCTGCGTGGGTGTAGCCCTCGTAGCCCCCCGCATACCCCGCCGTGACGCCGCAGGTGTACATGTGCTGTTGCACGGTGTATCCTCCCAAGACCGGAAATGGGCTCCTGCTGCTGTTCCTGCTGCCTCCTCCACTGGTACCTTCACAGCCCGATGTGGTGATCTCGTTGGCAGGAGCATTTGGAACGGGTATAACGTCAGGAGGGGAACCACCAAGTCCTTGGTAGTACGTCTGCTCTGAGCGCTGTGTATAGCCACCGCACCCAAAGTACTCCTCCTCTGTGAAACCCATCATGGGCTGCTGTTGTTGCTGCTGTCTCTGGATCTGCTCCGAGTAGCAGTACAGGTCCCTCTCGCACGGCGGCTGCGGTTGTGGTTGCGGTTGGCAATCAACCCTCATTGCAGACGTAAAACCCTGTTGGGTCCCGCTGTGCTTGCCCTTCGTCGGGAGTTCAAACATGTCTAATTTTCCCCCTTGCGAGGTGTGGCACAGCATAGCCTGCAGAACCTTCAGGCTGTCTGGGGGCAGCTTGCCTGAGTGAATCAGCGATATGACGTGAGCTTGTACATCTCGTGTACTTTTTAGCATCCCTTCAAGGTGCTGCTGCCGCTCATCCACAAGCAGTTCAGCCTTCACAGCGCCCATACGATCACCCCCTCCTTCTCTTGCAACGGCGAGCCAGTTGGGGGTGTTCTGAATTGGGCCAGGGCGCTTGCTGTTCTTGCCGCCATGTTGATGTTGATGTTGCTGCTGCTGCTGCTGCTGCTGATGGTGCTGTTGGTGTTGCTGCTGCTGCTGCTGCGACGCATACATGAAAAGAATACGGCTGACCTCTTCTACAGTCTTCGCGTCACCGTCCGGGGTGGTCTCCGCTGTAGTGCCGTTGCGCTTCGCCCGGAGGGCCTCCAAAGATACTCCAGTCACAACCTTTGTGACAGTGCTGTTAGATTTATCCCGCCGTCGCACAGAAGTGGAGTTCACTGGACGCTTCTCTCCTGTCCCAGTTGTCGTCTCGCCGCGTACAGGCACAACTACCGTTTCTGTATGCCTTTGTGTTGTTGTCGTTGTTGCTCTTGGTGTTGGCGTTACAACATCTTTTCTTCTTGTTGCTGCTTCGGCTGTTGCTGTTGTTGGCGGCGTCGTCGTAAGCCCGGCTGCGGTGTCCTGCAGCCCGGCACGTCGCTGCCCCCGCCGGCCCCCTCGTCGGTTTTTCGCCGGTGCGTCGCTGCTCACAGTGGCGCTGCCCGGACCCTTGCTGCCGCCGTCGGTGTCGCCAGTCGCCCTCGCACCAGCCGGCGGGGGTTTACTACTTAACGGGGGCCTCATGCTTCCCAGAGCGCGCCCTCGTTATGGGTGAATGTATGACGCCTGTCTTTGCCCTGCGAGCAGCAGCATCGTGAGAGAACACGAGAAGCAAACGAAATAATAATAATAATAATAATAATAATAAAGAAAGAAACAGAAAGCCACACATGCCACCCTCAGGAGCGTACAACGAAAGAGCCGCATCTTCCTCACAGCCCCGCACGCAGCAAAGCCACTAAGAAAAAAACACATGTGTGGTGTACAAACATGAGACAAATACACACAAGACGAAGGACAAGGGAGCAGGCAGAAGAAGAATCAGGAACAGAAACCGAAGACAAATACGGCTAGGCAGTGCTCCTAGACCCGTCGTCGCCCCCACCCCCCTTCTTGTTTCAGTCCTAATCCTCGTCAACGCCCTCCTCCTCCTCCTCCTCCTCTTCTTCCCCCTCATCATCCTCGTGTATTCGTGGCAGCATTGGCTCCGGTGCCCCTGCGAGCTCCATACGCGCGCGTGCGCCGCTCTTGAGCTTATCAACCACCTTCCCAATCCGCGTCACCTTCGTCCACTGGCGCATAGCACCATCCACAAGCCAACGCTGGACCTGCGAGAGGAGTAGTCCCTGTGTCGTCGCCTTATTCTCAAGGACAAACGCGGGCCATGAAAACTCCATTCCTCGAAACCGCTTGGGGATCATCAGCGTGTACATCCCCAGCATCTGCCACAGTGGGTCTGGTTTGTGGCGTGTGAAGGTGACGAAGAGGATGACACGCGCGAAGTGTGCCTGATCCACGAACAGAAACGCCGGGCCCACGCCTGCTCCTCCCTGTCCGTGCGTGGGAATGAATATCGCAGCAGCATCCGACTCCTTGCGGATGCGTTCCACCAACCCCTTGGCGAAGGCGTGTCGCGACACCGACGACGAGAGCGATTCCCTTGCCGATGCCATGGTGCCGCCATCCGCGACGAGCAGCGACTGCAGTCCACGGAGCTCCCGCCACAGCGCCGCCACAAGGTGATCCGATACGTTCACAGCGAACGGAGAGAGCGTGCATGACAATTCCGTAATGCGTGTGACGCCGCTGGCGGACATCATGTCGGTGTACACCGCCTGGAAGTCGTGCTGTGGCACCTCCTCGCCGCGCCAAAACCAGCTCAGGATTCGTCCAGCGTGGTCCTCCTCCGCGTTAGGGTTCGCGAGGCAGGCGCGGTGCAGAACAAGAGCAGTCCCCTCGCCTCCATCCACCACCTGCATCCGCCGAAGCAACACAGAAACAGTGCGGGTGTTGTCGGCATTGAGTGTTTGCACCTGCATGTCCCGAAGCAAGACTGACACAAGCCGCTGCCCATTCCCGGGCCGATCCTCCGTGAGCCACACCAACTCCACTGAGGGGACGGAGAGTGTGCGGCCCACACTCGTGTGCCACGCGTCGTCAAAGGAGGCGTGCAGTGGCACAGCCTCATCGGTTAAGAGGATCTTCACATGCTGCGCATCTCGTCTGCTTGTGAAGGCCCGCACATAGAACCGGGCAAGCGCCCCCTCCGTGACGTCGGAGGTGAAGCACCGCTGCACCTGGCACGTCCCACACGAGAAATTCACCTCGAACCACGCCCCTTTGCAGCCAACAACGTGAAGAGAAATGACAGGGCTGGTACAGTAATCCTCCCATAGAAAGAAGCGGTTCTGGCATGGTGGAATGATACTGCGACGTGGACTTCCCTTCTGCCGCACAGCAATGGTCTCACCCCGTGTCTGATTCTGTATTACCATGTTGGTCGCATGAATGCTATTCATGACAACGGCCAAAACATTATCGGTGTGCTGCACTGTCACACTGAGACGGCCCGTGACAAACGCAGCATCCTCACTAATGCGGGCAGAATCTGAACACGATGACGACGACGAGGGTGGCGATGACAACGACAGTGGTGCAGCGGATGTCACTAACGCCCCGTAGGCAACACTTGGCACCCTCTCGGGTTGCTTGAGGGACGCCCACAGATTGAATACCGCATGACCTGGTCCATCGATGGACATGGGTTCCGTGCGATGCACCTCATAGAATTCTGAAATATTGGTGTAGCGCGCGTTTCCACTAGAAAGAGAGGTAATGGAAGGAACAGTGTCCTCCAGTGTGTCTTGAAAGGATACCAAGTTCCCAACCACTGTCCCAATACAGCTGAAGCTATGCTCCCCTGGTCGAAGCGTCACCGACGACACGGTTGTTGCTTCTACTGATGTTTCTGCATGTTTGTCAGACGACGTCTTCGCCGCCTCTGACACCTTTTTCTTCATGCCTGAAAGCCCAAAGTAAATCTTCAAGCGTCGGTTCGTATTGTTAACAAAAACCCAGCGTGGGGTGAGAAGCAACACCATAGGTCGCCCATCCTGGACGTGAGGAAACTGCACAACGTAGTTGCAGCTGTGCGTAAAGCCGGCCATGGGGCGCGGCGATTCCACCACACCGTGAGACCCCAGGTGGGTTGGGATACCATCGGACCAGTCGCCGTCAAGGCCCAGGGTTAAGAAAACCACCCTGAAATCAGTTGGACGGCATCCAATGAGGAATGGAACGCCTTGCGACGGCGGGATTCCAGTGTGCTGCATCTGCCCCGCGGAGAGACGACGCGAAGCAAAGCTGTCTGTGAGGAGAATTGGGTACTCCGTTAAATTCACCACCCAAAGCCCGACCGAGAGTATGATAGTCCGGTGCAGCACCGACACCTGCACGTAAAAGCGTCGGCCATTGGAGTCGTGCAAGTGCAGAAGGCACGGTTCCTTCTCTACATTCTTCTTGAGCGAGTCACACACCCGCACCGGTTCATCTGTACCTACCGTCTCCCCGCCTGTCTGAGTAAAGCTGAGGCTCATCGTGAGGCTGCTGCGGTAAGAGCACTGGCAAATAGCGAGAGTGCCTCGGTGTGCGAGTGACTCGTGCTCGCCGATCTTCATGTACCGATGGGATGAATTGAATTTACCCCATCGGCGCCAGAGTGACGATGTTTCACCAACTCTTCTGTTTGGGCCGAATCTGGTACTGTCACCAGCACCGCCATCGACATTGCCTTTACCGCCGTAGCCGTCGTTAAGCTGTTCCTCCTGCCACAGCGACAGCTTCACGGGAACCCCAATGTGATTCAGCACCGTTATGCGGGGAAAGAGCATAACGACGATCGATCCGCTCTCCACATAGCGACGTAAAGCCATGAAGAGCGAGACGGGAAAAGAGGAATTGAGTCTTTCTACGCGTGATGCCACATCGCCGCAGGGATGCAGATCCAAGAATACACCACTCTCGAGTGAAAGTGTACTGAGTGACGTGGTGTAGACCCCACCATTCAGTAAGACGCGAAGCTCCACGCGACTGCATGTCCCACTGAGGGGGTATTCCGCGTTTGGTGGTACAATCCAGAAGTCGTCACTCAGTGGTGTCTCATCTGGCGTGCCTAGAAGGTATTGCCGCATCTCCAGCATCATACCGCTACCGTTGTACAACGTGACTCTCGAATGGATGCGAACAATCACCAAACCCGCCTCATCCGCCCGTCGCACCGCACCAATCGGCACGTGTGCATCGGGGGACACCGGTGCTGCTGCATCATCACCGTGGGATTCTGCGCCAACCATTGGGAGAGACGTGGAAACCGCCCCATGTGCCCCCTCTGTTTCCACACATGACATTACTACGAGCAAGTCATCCACAACAAGACCAACGGCGTGGCCATACTGCAGCTGACCTGCCACAACATGAGAATAATGCATATCTCTCTGCAACCCCACATCGTTTCGTGCATGTCGTCCATCTTCGTCTAATTTAATACAATACCGAGGGTACAGGTAAAGCCGAACTTCGTCTGCTCGGTTAAACGGCAGCACAAGGTCCACAGCAGTAGAGGAAGGAAGTGGCACAATTTCACCGCGGTCAAGATTCTTCCCAATAAATAGGTAAAAGACGTCACTAAAGGTGTTTATAAATCGATGCGTCGCGGTTGCACTGGAGGGTGATGTGCAGACTGATGACTTTCGTGACATCATCTCCCTCCCAGAGTTGAGGTTTTGCAAGAGGGCGGTCTGCAGCTCCGCCCACTGACGATTGATGTGTATTATCTTTGACAAGAGCAGTTGCGACGCATAAACAACAAGTGTGTCGCACTGCAAACGCAGCTGTCTTGTTCTGGTCCGCTTTGACCAGGAGTGAACAGCTTCAAAGGCCACAACCGCTTTGGCCGGCACCACAGTGTCCCAGCGGCCCTTACCGTACACCCGCACGTAGAAGTTCTGATTCTGCAGCAAGGTCGTCCGGCTCGTGTGAAACATAGTTTCTTTCCACACAACATCTGACAGCGTCACCTGCAGAAGTGGGTACTTGACGTTACTGAGTGTCACTTCCACAAAAGGTGAAAATGTTGCCAATGAAAGTGTGGATTTTCCGCGCTGCGGCTCACCACCCTGTGTATCCTCTGCGTGACGCACATCACCGTCATCCTCCCAGTCCGCATGCAGAGGAACACTTTTCCACCCCATGATCTCTTGAATTCGCAGATCATACTCACGCTCCGCCGGCGAGCGACGGAACGACATTATGTGGTGCGTGAGGCGCGTAACCTCGTGTGAAATCGCACCCAGCAGCATCACATCGCCTATAGTGGCATCCACAACAATGCGCCCCACCGCAAACGCCACGTCACGACCTTCCGAGATGCAGATGTGGATAGAAACTGGACGGAGGACTGTGTTTTCCGTCGTCGCGGATTTGGCTGCCGTTGCTGAAGCTACACCGCTTGTGCGGGTAACGACGGTGAGGTTTTCAAGCGTGACATCACCTTGCTCCATCATTCCACCATGCAGATAGGCCCTCGCATCGATGGCGAGAGTTGCCTGCACGGTGCCTTGATCCAGTTGCGATGGCACAGAAATTGCCAGAGAGTGGATTGCCGCTTGCAATTGCCAAAGTTGACGGTGCGCACTACTACTCGCCGCGCTTCTTTGCTTCTGCAACTCACGCCTCTCTGACATGGTGTAACGAACATTACGGCAACGCACATAGCTTCCTTCACCCACAGCCATGAAGGGCAGAAGCATAACCTCCTCCCCCAGACGCTCCACACGCCGCATATGCTTCTTTCCCGAAAGGAACCAAGGAAGAACAAAACTGCCGCCCGAAAACGTCAAGGAAAGTCCTCCGTCAACAACCATGACAGTGTCTGCCCCTTTCTTCCGGGCTGGTTCCACAAAAATTGAATGGCCATTCATTTCCACCAGAATGTTGTTAGTGTTCAAGCTGGAGAATACCAACACGGAACCACCATCACGGCTGAGAACTAGGTCAGCTTTCAACTCCCATAGTTTTGTGTCCACAGTTACAACTTCCATCTTGCGATTGACAGTATTGTAGCGGCTGACGCCAACCCCGCCAGAAATGCTACCGCTCAAATGCTTTGTTGTCCAATAAAGCGGGTCAACCTCCTTTGCCGGAGCCCTTATTAATTGATCGAAGCATCTCCGGAGAGAAGGGATGGTAGGCGTGACCGCCAGCGACTCCACAGTGCACACTATCTCGGGTGCCAGATTAGTTACACCATCATTCGTACGAAGCCAACTAAACTCCACCCCGTGAATTGACAACACTTGTGATTCAGAGTCGCATCCACAGTTAACCTCTTCCACCATGAAAGATGCTGCACCTTGGAGAAGTTGCCATGCAGCATTTGTAAATTGCACCCAGACAATAGGCTTCATTTCATCGTCAGTATCACCCGAGCGTTGCACTTCAACAGCAAATCGAAACTCCACCAACTCCACAGAGAAGCAACGGCTATTGGGGGCCTCCGTACTCGCTGCCACAGCATCCCTGACGCTAACAGGAGCCGAGGTATCACCGTTTACGTTGCAACGAGAAGTCACCGATGAGGAAGATATGCCGGCTACCGCCTCGATTTCTTTATCCGCTGTGGATGCGAATACACATATTGCTGGCTCCACCACGTCGGTATCGTTTGCCTCCACCTTAAGGTGATAACTCAGCAACTCGACGAGGTGTAGGTAAGTGAGAGAACTAAACTTGATGTGAATCGGCGAAACTTTTATGTGAGGATAGTCGTGACCTGATGTTTGCGTTGTGAACGAAATACTCTCAAGCAACGGCACAATTTCCTCTGCCTCACGAAACAGGAGAATAGATGGGCCCATCACACCTTCTGGTGGAGGTGCGTTGAACCACTTTAACTTCACACTTCCGTCCCCAAGAGTCACCACTCCAACACTCGTCAATGTTAACGCGAGTAGATTACAATGAAGTTCACCGTATAGGCCGTTTATTCGACTGCACCACGCAAAACCAAAACATGCCTCCTCAAGGCTTACCGTGAAAGCTGCACGGCTCTCCTCAGAAAGAACTGCCGCCTCTGTTCGTGAAGGCGGAGGTATCGGTGGAATAGCAGAAGAGAGAAGTATGTGGACTGCAGTCAACTGCTGTGAAAGCAATGGCAAAATTTCTTCATCAAGATGCAGAAAAATATTGCCCAGTGACAAAAGAGCGCCACTCAACTCCGAGTTGTTTGCCAACATCATGCGGCCACCGGTTGTTTTTCGTTCGCCCGTCACTTCCAGAATAGCTGCATCCATTTTAAGACTCTCGAGAGATTCCCAGAGCTTTGCCGAATATCGTTTTTCATCCGCCTGCAAAGATCCATCGCACAAAAGTGACAAGAGCGTTGTAGTTATCATGTACGTTCCGTCATGAAACTCAGCATCAATACCCTCCCATAAGACAAGAGCGATCGCAAGATCTTGAGAAAAGGCTACAAAGGGTGGAATATGCATCTCTATTGATCGCACCCGCCTTGGGCCCACCGCCACAGGAGGACTGGGGCTCACTGGCACAGCAGAAAAAAAAGACCCTGCAATTACCCAGAGATGGTACAACTCTTGAAACGAAACAACAACCCGTTGTTGAAATTGGATGCGCTTCTGGTTTTCCGCGTCATCTCCCAGACTACTGTTTTGATCATCCATCTGTTGTTTTCCTTTTATGGCAATCCGATTGGTTTCCCTCTGCTCATCTGCACCATACAAAACCTGCTGCCTCGTCTCCATCTCAACAATGTTACCATGGAGGAATGCATTGCATGAAGAATCACATGGCTCCTTCACCACTCTCGGTAACTCCGTAACTACTGAAACCTCCGTCGACATGCATCGGCTAAGGCCATCGTAGGACCATGTCACCCTACACAAAGGGACACCTATTCGCACATGCGTATCATCATCATCATCATTCTCATCCTCATCCTCATCCTCATCCTCATCCTCAGAATCAACGACACAATTAGAGGACAATTTACCCCATGGAAAGTACAGTAACACCACATNGACATGCATCGGCTAAGGCCATCGTAGGACCATGTCACCCTACACAAAGGGACACCTATTCGCACATGCGTATCATCATCATCATCATCATCATTCTCATCCTCATCCTCATCCTCATCCTCATCCTCATCCTCAGAATCAACGACACAATTAGAGGACAATTTACCCCATGGAAAGTACAGTAACACCACATTTTTTGCCTCCACGTAAACCACATTTCGCTGGGGCCAAAACCCAGCAGAGTATAATCGACCATGGGAGGTACGCAATCCAAAATGCAACCTTGACCCCATGCTCCTCAACCGATACAACGGTGATCCTGCTTCATTGAACTGGCGCAGCCATTCCTGCAACGCAGGGAAGTAAGCTGTGAAAGAGCGTTCAGAGGTTATCACCGATGTCACCAGCACTGTGAGAGGGTTCACCACATCTAAAACACTTGGTGGCTCCCACTTCATCACTGCTCGTAGCGTTCCCGCGTCAGCTTTTGAGGGATACATTAAGGCATAGCCATTAACGTCCCAAGAACAACGACTTCCAAGGGTGACACTGAGCTCCATACGTGTATCACAAAAACGTTTAATCTCCATAACAAGGCTGTTGTGACCTTCGCATAAAAGGCGGAAGGGAAACTTCCAGGCACACAAAGGCTCCCCAACAACTGAAAAAGATACATTTCCAAATAAAGCAAGGACCTCTATTGAAGGATCCTTAAAACTTTCATTGCGGTATATCGGAATGCCCTCTTCTGGTTGAACAAGCATAACCCAAGCGAGATCATTCAAAAACTCCAGCACACTCACAAATCGACTATCCATAATGATATTTCCTCCGTCAAACGTCACGGAAACAATCGAATTCGCCTTTGAATCAGTCAGATGAGTGCTCAGTGAAGTCCATTTGTCGCTGATTCCACCGGAAATCATGATACTCATGTTCATTTTACTAAGCAGGGAATCACAACACATTTGCTTGCACACAACAGTAATTAACCAATTAACCCCAGGCGTGAGGCGAACAACAAGTTCTGGCATTTGCAGCTGCACGTTGTCACCAGGAAAGTCAATCGCAAAATAGGGAAAAGTAAACTCAAATACCCTCTTAGGTTCTACAGTCTGCGACGCATTTCCACGTTCCAACAAAGGAAACAAACCCTTCAAGCTGGTAAAAACGTCAAATAAAACGCCCCTCATTGTATAAAAACTCAAAAGTACTCCACGGATGTATGAGTTTCCAGAAACAAATGTGGTGTCATTCTCAGAGTTCACAGTGAAGTCCGTTACAATGATGAAAGGCGGACTAGAAGCTTCATTGATGCATAATTCGGAACACCTCAGCGATGGAAAAATATCCAAGTCTTCAACGCAAACTTCTATTTCTCCAAAGTCTACTATTGCATTACGAATGCCAACTTTTGTTTTGATTCCACGTGTCTTCTTTGTATTCATTTTTAGAGGGTAGCCAGGTGCTCCAACTATGTCAATCAATTCAGACATAAGAATTGCAGTAAGTAGCCTCTCAACAATTTTCTTGTCGTACTTGATACTAATAGAACTCAGATCAACTGAAAGTTCCGTATCACAGATGCCTTGCACATAGGAAATAAGAATTCCCTCTTTGTTCTCGGATTTACCCATAATTTCAATCATTTCAACGCAGTCATATCTTGAAGAACCCAAACAAACAGAAACGGCTAATGTCGACAAAACAGTCTGGTGTTTTCCCTCTGCATGAACCGATTGAAGAGACACATTCTTGAACAGTACAGTAGTAACCATATCATTGTTCCAAAGAACAAGTGGCAACTCGGGAAACGCAAGATAAATTGAAATTTCACCCTTCATTGGGGAGTAATCCAGCGAACCCTGAAGCACTTCCACGGCTGCTACGCTGTATTCCGCACTTCGGTCGCAAATGGTATCTCCATAATGCCGAGGGAATACCCTTTCAGTAAGACGAAACTGCTCTAAAGTGTACCTCGCTTCTTGTCTAACCTGAATAAGGTGTTCGATAGAAAGCGAACGTCTTGCCTCGCCCAGCCTCTTGGCATTCACGACGTGCCCAAAAAGCCATGGTGCACCCAAAACCAAAAGATAGTAGTTGTAATATTCCTCACATAATTGCTTCCAGTTTCGGTAAAACTCCCAATTGAAAGTATCTTTTCGAGTTCGGCTACTTGTATTCGATACGACTCGGTGAATGATGTATTTCCACCAGGACACACAGCTTCCTGGTATTGCACAACTAGGCCTTTTTGTTGGTCTCATTCTCAAGTAGTCATCAGTGGTTCCGTACAAAGAGGAGATGCCCCGAGCTATCATTATCAGTGCAGCTAAGTTGGAAAAGTGGAAATTAACTCCACCAACATGTATGGCCCCTCGGATTCCAACAGACAGACGTGAATTCTTATACTGTAATGAAGAAAGTAGTTTCCCGGAGGAAGGTTTAACAGTGTAGCCATTGGATATAGCCCTCATTTCAAACCCACTTTTTAGTAGTCGTTTAAAACTATCCAAGGACATTATATGCCATGGCTCATGTTGAATCTTGCCGGAGGTATCAGAATCCGCCAAAAGAGAAAGACCTTGAAGAGTGATAACTCGATGGGTATTGCTTAAATCATCACTGAGAAGGCCACTATCACCCGTGGCATTCGCTGGAGCGCAGACTAGATGCTGAAGTCCTATCATTGCCCCAACAGCATTCCCATCATTTTGCTCATACCACATCAGACTATCCTCGATAACCAGTGTAATGTTGCGTAAAACGATGTGCTTAAGACGGGTAAAAAAATTTGAGCGCTCCCTCTCAGCATCCGACATTGGCTTTTGTTTGAAGGCATCGAAGAGATCAACTATTTTATGTCTTCCCTTTAATATGTCACCGTATTCGTCAGAATCTGTATCACACGGGACACTAACAACCACAAAGACACCTTTGAGGCACACTTCACAGGATTTTGAATAGAGCTCAAGCCAGGGGACCTTAACTCGCAGACTTTCCACAACTATTCGCTCAATAGGACAAAAAGTCCTGCAGTACCTCATGACACTGTCATCAATTTCAACATTCTTCAGTTCAATGGAACCCCCTAGAAGGTTTAGAGATATTGAGTCACTATCTAGCTTCTTCAAAAAGCCCCGTATGTAGTCGCCGATTAGCTTGCATAGGTACCTGGTAAGAAACATCCAATGGCCCTCTATTCACGAACATCAATAGTGATCTTCTTGGATCTTTGCAATAAAAGAACAGGCAAAAAGGCATGTTTTAGCTACATACGAAGGTGAAACCAAGAATCAAAAATATTTAAAACAGAGTCTGACGATGCATTAAATGGGAAAAAAAAAACTACAGGAACAACTGAGAAAAGCTTACACCACAATAAATACAAACAGCAGCCGGTTGATTGGGATGCCTCAGATAGTCGATTGTTCCATCAGCGTCATTTACACGTTTTGCGCTAAAGTGGACGGTTTTTCCAAAGTGTTCTGTACCAGGTAATGAGTTGTATTGATAACCGTGCTCTACACCTAGGTGTATCATAGTGGAAGCGTCAGGTGTTAAGTGTGCCACATAGGCATAAATCAGGTTTTTTCCTGAAAGAAGGTGCCAATGGGCCTCTAGGCACTCATTTACACAGCCTTCTTTGCACGCATATACCCTTCCGTGTAGCATTCGTCGCAACGCAAAGTGACGTCCTTCAAAAAGACAGTTTCTCACCCTTCCTGTATTTAAAAGTGTTAGTCTAGCCTTCTCTTTCAGATTTTCTACAGAGGAGAAGTCATCAGTATTCAAGAGATCTTGTGTCGTATTAGCTTCTCGGATGGTTGCTTCTTCCTGACGGTGGGCTGCGTCATCTTTAATTTGTTGAAGAATTTGTTCCCGTCTTTCACGTCCCTGGGTATCGCCCCGTGCTTTTAAAGCGGTAAGGTGAAGCTGTATATCCATTGCCTTTTTGTTCTGTAACTTCTCTTCCAGTTCTGAGAAAAAGCGATCGGCTTCTTTCAACTGTTGCACGTCACCCTTGAATATATAAATCATTCCCGAATTTGGATTACATTCCAACTCAAAGCCTATAGTAGTAAATAGAGAATCTGCAACGGCGTCTGGTAATTGTTCCAGTGCTTTCCGAATGATGGCATTCTCGTGTCGAACAGCACGGAACTTTGGGTTGTCAGGCTCCAATAGAAGATTTGCTAAAAGGTGGCGAAATACTTTGGAGATCGCATCGCCAAGCGCATCCCCGGGGCACTGCTCCAAAATTCCATCAGCTTTATCGGCGCCCATAGAGCCTGGAATTAGGTAAAACAAGAAAAAAGAAAAAGAAAAAAGAAAGAGACGGCAATGAAACGGGAAATGAAACAAAGCCCATTCCCAGAAAACGGAAAAAAACTTTACGATCGCTTTAGCCGAGCCGCCATTTCCTCCACCTCACACCCCGCCCGGCGGTAACCGGGAAACGCACAGACACAACCAGAGGAGAAACCTCCCACCAAGGAAAAAGAAAAAAGGCCACGAAGATTGTAGGCGCCACCGGATTCCAGCGTGCGGGCGAACGCGGCCTCCCCCACCTTCTTCCCTTCTATGACCTTTCTCGGAAGGCGGGGTGAGCCTTTTTAAGAATGCTCAAAAGAATAAGTCGAAAAAATACGACGGGCGGGGATCGAACCCGCGATCTCTCGCGTGTGAGGCGAATGTCCTAACCACTAGACGACCATCGCGACGACGAACAAAAAAAGCAGATTTTGTGATATATATACATATATATTTGCAAAAAATATAAATTTGGTAACTTCGTTTTAACCCAAAAAAAAAAACATTTGTTTTCTGTTGGTGTTTTATTAACGGTGCCATCTTCTTAGTGTCATATCCGATATGGTATAACGGTTAGAACATCTGGCTTTCACCCAGAAGATCCGGGTTCGATTCCCGGTATCGGAACTTTTTGGGATTGCTTTGGTTTTGGGTTATTTTTATATGATTTTAATTTGGTTGGCTTGTATAATTTTATATACTGGTTCGTAGCCGCGATAGCTCAGTTGGGAGAGCGTCAGACTGAAGATCTGAAGGTCCCTGGTTCGATCCCGGGTCGCGGCATTCCTTTTTGCGATGATAATTTTTTTATCATTTACCCTGTTTTTTTTTCTGTTTATGGTACGTCTAAGCTTGTCGCGGTTAAAAAGGGGTTTGCTACGCCCACAGGGCGCGGCGCCCACCCCCATAAGCCCGGCTCCGCAATGGCTAAAAGAATTACTGGCCAATAAACCAGTCAGCCCCCTGACGCCAGATACCAACTTCCGCAACGTTGGCCACAGAGGCCTCCATGTGCGGATGGGACGCCTTATTATTTAAGGATTCGTGGGAAGTTTTGATCGCCAGCGGCTCTTGGAGCAAAGCGCCCCAGATGATTTTCCAAGCGGAAGCTCGCGCGGCCCACTTGGCCCTACAGACTTTCCGCCGAGATCTGGAGGGGCCCCTGCGCATATGGATGGGCAACGCAACCGTGACGCACTCAATGGCAAAAAGGCAACATGCACTTAAGAGGTGCTGGTGCGGGGAGCGGCAGCCACAGATAGAGTGCTACGGAACAGCAAAGTGAGCGCTACGTGGCCTAAGGGGATAAACCTGCGGACGGCATTTCCAGAGGTCAGGGCATAAAAGCCCTTGGCCTAGCGAAGGGGAGGCGGGTTAAGGACGCTTTCAACTCTTCCATTTCATGAGTTGTAAATGA